GTGTCTGTTATGGAAAAGGGGTGATTCCCAAATTGCAAAATTCATGCTGGTTCTACTGTCTTTCATGCCGACTGCCAAACGTTTAGTACTTCTAAACCTCCCAACATTTTACAACGACATAGAGGGACACTTTAATTTTAACGGTGCAAGTGGGGTGTGGCCAGAAGTTGGGGCTATTCTGAGTGTGAGTGAGTGTGTGACCAGGGGCTGTGTGAGTAGTGTGAGTAGGTGTGTTGCTGTTCTTATTTACCAATAACAATTGGGGACAAGAGGTATTTGGGCTCAAAATAGGGACTGTCCCTGCTAAATAGAGACACTTGGCAGGTATGCTTTATATCACTTTGCAGAAAATAACACTTTTTATACATCAGCCCATAGTAAGGGGAGCAAGAAGCCGCTTCCTCCACACTTTAGGAATAAAACAATAGAATGTACGTAATTTGTAAAATTTTCTCTCTATGACAGAAATTCAATGTCCTTTCCATTTTGACAGACACAAGTCTGCTTTAACCATAGCTGGCCATGAAACAGTGTTCGTAAGGGGAATCTGGCCATGAAAGGGTGTTATTAAGCCCCAGCTTAATTTATATTAATCATGAAAGCAAAAGAAAGAGCATCCATATCTCTAAATAATTAGGAAGGATTTTCCATTATTTAACAAATCAAGCCTCGAGGTGTTTGTGAGTTAATTAGCACATCCTATGTTTGGGATTACCACTCTATCAGGGTTATTTACTAACGTTAGTATTTTAATGGAAGGCAAAAGTAGCCAAACGGGAAGCATAGCTGACCTACAGATGTTTTCCATTTCGGCTTCTATGATCTTAAATTAGAAATTCACTTAAATTTACTTTGAATTCTCATTTTAGTAAATAATGTTGTATAAGTCCTCATTGTGACGGACCCGCTGGCACTCCGACCGAGTACCTCCGCCAATCGATGCTCCTAGTGCTTACCGAGGACTCCAAGCACTCCAACCGACACCATCAGCACTGCAGACTTATCCCATCCCCCAAGCATGAGCGAAGGCTTCAAGAAAGGGTCAAGCAGGTCTGTTTAATGAGCACACTCAAGCAACAGCACTCATTCAGCAAAACAACTCCTCCTCAGAGGAAAACAAAATTACAGTTAAAGCGGCACTGTCATGCCGAACTTACCTCTCCTCAATCTCTTCCTCTTCTCCCCCTCTCTCAGGATCTGTTCTTCTTTTCTTCCTGTCTTCTTTAGTTTTCTTTAAAATCATAAGACAAAGTAGGGACTCTTTGCCTTATGGAGGATTCCTCCGCTTGACCAGCTCTGACCAGCGGAGTAGCAAAGTGTGCTTCATTTCCGCTGGTCAGAGCAATTTTCCCACAATTCTCACCTTCCCTCTGTGTTCCCACGATGCTTCCTGTCACTTTACACGAAACTGCCGAATTGCGTTCTAACTGAATGAGAACAGTATGTTCGTTTGTTTTAGAACAGCATTCGGCACTTTATTCGGATCGGAATTTCATTCGAATGAATGAAACTCCGATCCTATTCTTGCTGTGGCTGCATCTTGCAGCCGGTTAGTAGATAACTCCCTAATTCCCACGGTATCAGGGAGCGATCTACTAAAAGGCTCAAAGACCTAAATTGGTCTTTCAGCCACATTTACTAATACTAAGTAAAAATTACTTAGTATTAGTAAATAATATGCCCCTACTCGCTATACCGTGAGTAGGGGCATGTCTGGTAAACAGTGAGCAGCCTGTGGCTGCTCACTGTAAAAAAAACAAAACAAAAAAAACACTATTGGCCCCCACCCCTAAACGACAGGTGGGGGCCCTAAAGTAAAATAAGGGGGGAGACCTAAAGTCCCCCCCCGGGCCCCACCCCTGCGCGGTGGGTGGGGGTCATAATGAAAATGGGGGGGGACCTACTGCCCCCCCCGCCGGCCCCCACCCCTGGGCGGCGGGTGGGGGCCATAATGATAATGAGGGGGGGGACCTACTGTCCTCCCCCCGGCCCCCACCCCTGGGCGGCGGGTGGGGGCCATAAAGACAATGAGGGGGGGGACCTACTGTCCTCCCCCCCGGCCCCCACCCCTGGGCTGCGGGTGGGGGCCATATTGATAATGAGGGGGGGACCTACTGTCCACCCCCCCTCTGGCCCCCACCCCTGGGCGGCGGGTGGGGGCCATAAAGATAATGAGGGGGGGGGGACACACTGTCCACCCCCCCTCCGGCCCCCACCCCTGGGCGGCGGGTGGGGGCCATAAAGATAATGAGGGGGGGACATCTACTGTCCTCCCCCCCCCGGCCCCCATCCCTGGGCGGCGGGTGGGGGCCCCTAAGTCAATTCCCCCCCACAAGGTGACTAGGGGTCCCCAAGCCCCTAGTCACCCACCCCCCACCCAAATAAAAAGTCCCTACCTACCCCCCTCACCTGAAAAAATAGTGAGGGGGGAATAAAATAACTAACCTGCAAAATAAAATTAAACTTACCATTCGACGTCTTCTTTTTTCTCAAATCTTCATTTTTCAGCCCTAAAAAAGGCCAAATAAAAAACCATCATAACCGTCGAACTAAAAAAAAAAAAAAATCCCAGAGCCCAAAAACCCAGACGAAAAAGAAAAAACCTGAGCGCAAAAAATAATCCATCTTCACCCATGGAGGGCTCCGCGCAGACTGAGCTTGCGGGGGAAGGCTTATAAAGCCTGCCCCACGCCCTGCAATTAGGCTAAGAACACTCTGATTGGTGGGTTTAAGCCAATCAGAGTGCTCTTTGTCATTTTACACAGCGTGGGAAAATTCCAAAGAACTTTCCCACGCTGTGTAAAATGACACAGAGCACTGTGATTGGATGGATTTCAAGCCATCCAATCACAGTTCTCTAAGTCATTTTACACAGCGTGGGAAAATTCCAAAGAACTTTCCCACGCTGTGTAAAATGACACAGAGCACTGTGATCGGATGGCTTGAAATCCATCCAATCCCAGTGCTCTGTGTCATTTTACACAGCGTGGGAAAATTCCAATGAACTTTCCCACGCTGTGTAAAAGGGGGACCCCTAGTCACCTTGGGGGGAATTTACTTAGGGCCCCCACCCGCAGCCCAGGGGTGGGGGCCGGGGGTGGAGGACAGTAGGTCCCCTCCCTCATTATCTTTATGGCCCCCACCCGCCGCCCAAGGGTGGGGGCCGGAGGGGGGGTGGACAGTAGGTCCCCTCCCTCATTATCAATATGGCCCCCACCTGCCACGCAGGGGTGGGGGGGCAGTAGGTCCCCCTCATTATCAATATGGCCCCCACCCGCAGCACAGGGGTGGGGCAGGGGGGGAGGACAGTAGGTCCCCCCCCCCCATTATCTTTATGTCCCCCACCCGCCGCCCAGGGGTGGGGGATAGGGGGGGGTGGACAGTAGGTCACCTCCCTCATTATCAATATGGCCCCCACCTGCCGCGCAGGGGTGGGGGGGCAGTAGGTCCCCCTCATTATCAATATGGCCCCCACCCGACGCACAGGGGTGGGGCGGGGGGGGAGGACAGTAGGTCCCCCCCCCATTATCTTTATGGCCCCCACCCGCCGCCCAGGGGTGGGGGATAGGGGGGGGTGGACAGTAGGTCCCTCCCCCCTCATTATCAATATGGCCCCCACCCGCCGCGCAGGTGTGGGGGTGGGGGGGAGGACAGTAGGTCCCCCCCTCATTATCTTTATGGCCCCCACCCGCCGCCCAGGGGTGGGGGCTAGGGGGGGTGGACAGTAGGTCCCCCCCCCCTCATTATCATTATGGCCCCCACCCGCCGCCCAGGGGTGGGGGCCGTGGGGGTTAGGACAGTAGGTTCCCCCCCCATTATCAATATGGCCCCCACCCGCCGTGCAGGGGTGGGGGTGGGACATTAGGTCTTCCCCCTTATTTTACTTTAGGGCCCCCACCCGTCGTTTAGGGGTGGGGGCCAATAGTTTTCTTTTTTTTTTTTTACAGTGAGCAGCCACAGGCTGCTCACTGTTTAGTGGATATGCCCCTACTCGCGGTATAGCGAGTAGGGGCATGTGGGAGATTGTAATCTCCCTTGTGCTATTATGGGGGTCATATTGACCCCCATAGGGTGAGGGAGACCTGGGGGGGCTTATGAAGTGGTGGGGAGCACTGCTCCCTGCCGCTTCTATGTTTACATATTACAAGGAGGGAGCTGCGTGCCGGTAGCTCCCTCCTTGTAATAACCTGCACGAACAAACATACTCAGATACACAGATACTCAGTGTTTGTTTGTTCGGCTGATATTTCTATTCACTCATTCGTCTGTCTGATGAATGAATGAATAGATGAAATTCCCGTTCGCATGTCCAGGTGTTTCACTGGGCATGTGCGGGAATCTCACAGTCTATCTAGTGTGGGCTGATGACGTGTCCCACAGGGACTTCATCTACCCACACAAAGATGGCGGCACCCTGAATATAGATCGGGGCAGAAAATAAGGAATACAAAATAGGTAATGTGGGGGGCTTAGGGGCATTTGGGGGTGACTAGGGTGTTAGTTAGATGTAGTGGAGGCCGGAGGGGAGTTAAAAAAAAAACAGGATTCGGCATGACAGTGCCGCTTTAAAGACAGACAGTGTTTGAAAATATGACATTTATAAGGTTCAGTCAGAGTTTGAATATATGACAGTTATAAGGGTCAGTCAGAGTTTGAATATATGACAGTTATAAGGGTTAGTCATAGTTTGAGAATATGACAGTTATAAGGGTCAGTCAGAGTTTGAATATATGACAGTTATAAGGGTTAGTCAGAGTTTGAGAATATGACAGTTATAAGGGTTAGTCAGAGTTTGAGAATATGACAGTTATAAGGGTCAGTCAGTGTTTGAGAATATGACAGTTATAAGGGTCAGTCAGTGTTTGAGAATATGACAGTTATAAGGGTTTAACTGGTGTTCTAAGAAGGGAGGGGGGAATAAAACAGTCAAACTAAGTCCATAAAACAGGGGTTTTCTTCACACTCTGCATCCGAAGTGCATAGCAAAACTGAAGATCCTTTGTCAGAGCATTTAAAGGGCCAGAACCAGTCTAATAAAATCCACTATGCCCAAATAACGTATTTAAAGGGCAAAATCTTCCAGGGGCCATAGTCATCCGGCAAGAGGCTGGTAATTAGTCCTCTCCAGGCACAAGTGGTGAAGGGCACTTCGTCACACTCATTATCTATTTATCACTTTATATATAGTATTCAGTTAGAATTTAGAAGCATGGGCTATGTTTATCTAGATTGTAAGGTCCCATGGGGATATGGCCTTTAACTCCTCCTGTATTTGTTTGTCAGATAACTTGTACCAACTGTACCCATGTAAAGCGCTGCAGAATTTGTTGGCGCTATATAAATAAAGTATAATAATAATATAAGGGTTTTTTGTGTTCTGTATAGAATGTCCTGTGAGATAGTGTGACAGTTATTTGGAATATAGGAAAAAAGTGGGATGTAAACAATTACACGTACAGACTGCTGTTCAAGGATAGAGATGTAATAAGTTATAATTGCAATGGATCCCATGTTGGCCTCTGTTGGTGAATATTCAACCCTTCTGGGGGTAGTGCTAATATAATTGGGGAATTATTTTTTCTCTTTGCGAAGGCAAGACGTTGTAGGCACGCAGGCCGCAATATATACAAACATATCAATAATACAAACGTATACATTTTACAAATGGTTGCTGGGTTAAGTCTCTTATTGTTGCCAACGTTCGGTCCAGAACCGCCAGGTAATAGAAAATAGTATAATACCATGATATGCAGAGCGATCCCCAGCATTAGCTGCTATGTGAGATTTCCTTTAGTATAGTAAGTGAACTGGTGCTATGTGGGAAGTTTAATCCTTTCCTTCACTTATCATGAAAATAAGGCCTGCTAGAAAGGGCAGCGTAGAGAGAGATAGTGTGCAGGTAGATGAAGAGAAAATAAACAAGAAGGATTCCCGTACCCGGGCGGTCGAGCGCTCCCGTGAGCCCTCCACGTCTCCTGTCTGTTCAAGCATTACAGATCACGCGCCATATAAACAAACCACGGTTGCCAGGCCTCAGTGTGTTTGGAACCCGTCCCGAGCAGAGAAGCATGTAGCGCCTCAGCCGCCTGTTTATCCTCCACACTGCGTAACCAGGCCTCCTTTGTTGGAATCTCTGTCTTTTTCCAAAAAACAGAAATCAGGGCCTTAGCTGCATTAAGCAAGAGGTGTAGGATGGATTTCTTTTAGGCCGAAATAGGTTTTGAAGATGTGTAGCGGAGCGAGCTCACCCGACCACTCAACCGAATCCCCGAGAGTATCAGTCATGTCTTCCCTCACCATGTCCCAAAAGAGGGCAATTTCTGGACATTCTCACCATATATGCCACATCATGCCTCTATCAGCCTGGCATCTCCAGCAAGTGGGCGGCACACTAGGAAATATCCTGTGGAGGAGGGTCGGCGTCCTTTGCCATAGTGATATTAATTTATAGTTAGCTTCCTGGTACTATGAGCTTATCGAGCTCTTGTGCTGCCACACTAGCACCTTGTCCCATTGTGTAGCCGAAAAGGATTTACCTATTAGTTTTTCCCACTGTCTTTGGAACTTATTGTTCAATGGGCTATTCCCAACCAGGAGGTGTTGATAAAGCATCAAAACTGCTTTCTCAATCCCTGAGCCCTGCGAGCAAAGCTCCTCAAACCATGTGAGGTTCCTATGCAGCTTATCCCTCTGTGGTAACGTACGAATGTTGTTCTGTAGCTGAACATACCGGAGAGTGAACAAGGGACTTCGCAGTCCACCCCCCAGTAACACATCTCGTGCAAGGAGCTGTCCATCCCACAATGCCCTATTAATAGGGTTATATTCTTCCCCCAGAAATGACCAGGCCGAAGGTGATAACCCCCCACCAAGTTTGATATTATTAGACACCGGTATTTGGAAAATTCTATGCTAATCCAGTGACGTTCTATCCCATATTCCAAATAAATTCCTGCTCCATCACATCTAAATTCCGAGATCCAGATATAATGAATCTTTACTAATCCGCATGTGGATATACAGCTCATAACTGTCTCCTGGAGATGGGAAGTAACGTCAGCTCTTTCACTATGGTTCTCTAAAATGGCAGGGTTGAGGCCTCTGCTGGAGCTGTGGTTCACTTCACAGGGCAGGATCCAGGTGTTCACCGAAATCTGGGGGTCGTGGCTAACCTTTCAACAATAGTTTATAGAAATACGGCACTTCCTCCTCCATTGCGGGCTGACTTCTCTGTGTCCTGGGATTTTCTCAGTTCCCGAGTTGCTGCAGTCACTGTCTCCAAGATATACTTTCAGTCCACCCACCTTCACGTGGGATATACCTACCTGCCGCACGAACTACGACTGTAACTAAGCTCGACTCCAGTCATAACCAATATCTGTTCTGCTGTCTTTTTTGTTTTCTTGGCAGTTTTTGCTTGGTCTGAACTGATATTCTGTAGACGATGCAGATTACCTGTAGGAAGTATCTGTGCTACACGATAAAAAGGATTTACAAAAAAAACACATCATTTTTAAACTTTACACAAAGTCCTTATCTTAGATTATTTACATGGACAGAAGGACAGCGTACCAGCACTAATTCATGTTTTGTAGAATTAATTTTCACCACTCTGCTTTACCTTTAATACTCATTTTACGTTAAATGTACTGATTCCCCGTTAGTGGATTTTCTCTTTAAAGAATGAATGCATTAATGGCATCCATCATTTTCATCTTCAGTGCTGTTTTACAACCCGTTCATGCTGTGGCTTTGTAGGTACAGTGGTTCCTTTTCCCTCGGTTGTGGACCCCCGCTGCCAGCGAACATTTATTAATGTCACATTCACTGCAGACCAACGCTTGTATATCCACTAATTTGTAGAGATGATTTCTTTATCCGCCTCTCCCGGACACGTCACGAAAATACTTTTTTTTTCTAAGAGCTCATAAAGGCATCGAGTGAGAATAACTGAACAATCCTGTCACTTAGTTACTTAATGGCTAAAAGAATATGTAATAATGAATGCAAACTTTTTTTATAACCTTTTATCCTTTGTTGTTTTGTACATTTTAGATTTTTTGTTAGACTAGATGTAGCAGATTATCAGGAACTTCATGCGACTCTCTGTAGTTACTGTAGTTACTCTCATTATCCCAAACTATTAAAAATACTTTGTAACAAAGTATTCAGATAAAGCTGGTTTATTATAATTTGTGCATGTGTATTTATAATCAAAAAGGGAGCAAGCACTATAACCATTACAGTTTGTATGTATTGTTACAGCTTAATGTTTTATTTACTGTGTTACGGCAGCTTTATGATTACATCGTATAGTATTATTACAGCTTATTGTATCATTACAGCTCAGTGTATTATTGCAGTTTATTGTATTACTACTGGTCATTATATTATTACAACATGCATTATTATAGCTAATTGCATTATTACAGCTTATTATATACTTATAAGTCATTGTATCTTACAGCTCAGTATACTTTTACAGCTCAGTGTATTATTACAGCTCATTGTATTATGCCAGCTTATTGTATAATTACAGCTCAGTGTATCATTACAACTCATTGTAATATTACAGCTCATTATTACAGCTTATTGTGTAAAGTTCATTGTTTTATTACAGCTTATTGTATAATTACAGCTCATTGTATAGTTGCAGCTCAGTGTACAGGGAGTGCAGAATTATTAGGCAAGTTGTATTTTTGAGGATTAATTTTATTATTGAACAACAACCATGTTCTCAATGAACCCAAAAAACTCATTAATATCAAAGCTGAATATTTTTGGAAGTAGTTTTTAGTTTGTTTTTAGTTATAGCTATGTTAGGGGGATATCTGTGTGTGCAGGTGACTATTACTGTGCATAATTATTAGGCAACTTAACAAAAAACAAATATATACCCATTTCAATTATTTATTATTACCAGTGAAACCAATATAACATCTCAACATTCACAAATATACATTTCTGACATTCAAAAACAAAACAAAAACAAATCAGTGACCAATATAGCCACCTTTCTTTGCAAGGACACTCAAAAGCCTGCCATCCATGGATTCTGTCAGTGTTTTGATCTGTTCACCATCAACATTGCGTGCAGCAGCAACCACAGCCTCCCAGACACTGTTCAGAGAGGTGTACTGTTTTCCCTCCTTGTAAATCTCACATTTGATGATGGACCACAGGTTCTCAATGGGGTTCAGATCAGGTGAACAAGGAGGCCATGTCATTAGATTTTCTTCTTTTATACCCTTTCTTGCCAGCCACGCTGTGGAGTACTTGGACGCGTGTGATGGAGCATTGTCCTGCATGAAAATCATGTTTTTCTTGAAGGATGCAGACTTCTTCCTGTACCACTGCTTGAAGAAGGTGTCTTCCAGGAACTGGCAGTAGGACTGGGAGTTGAGCTTGACTCCATCCTCAACCCGAAAAGGCCCCACAAGCTCATCTTTGATGATACCAGCCCAAACCAGTACTCCACCTCCACCTTGCTGGCGCCTGAGTCGGACTGGAGCTCTCTGCCCTTTACCAATCCAGCCACGGGCCCATCCATCTGGCCCATCAAGACTCACTCTCATTTCATCAGTCCATAAAACCTTAGAAAAATCAGTCTTGAGATATTTCTTGGCCCAGTCTTGACGTTTCAGCTTGTGTGTCTTGTTCAGTGGTGGTCGTCTTTCAGCCTTTCTTACCTTGGCCATGTCTCTGAGTATTGCACACCTTGTGCTTTTGGGCACTCCAGTGATGTTGCAGCTCTGAAATATGGCCAAACTGGTGGCAATTGGCATCGTGGCAGCTGCACGCTTGACTTTTCTCAGTTCATGGGCAGTTATTTTGCGCCTTGGTTTTTCCACACGCTTCTTGCGACCCTGTTGACTATTTTGAATGAAACGCTTGATTGTTCGATGATCACGCTTCAGAAGCTTTGCAATTTTAAGAGTGCTGCATCCCTCTGCAAGATATCTCACTATTTTTGACTTTTCTGAGCCTGTCAAGTCCTTCTTTTGACCCATTTTGCCAAAGGAAAGGAAGTTGCCTAATAATTATGCACACCTGATATAGGGTGTTGATGTCATTAGACCACACCCCTTCTCATTACAGAGATGCACATCACCTAATATGCTTAATTGGTAGTAAGCTTTCGAGCCTATACAGCTTGGAGTAAGACAACATGCATAAAGAGGATGATGTGGTCAAAATACTC